TCCCCCCCCCCCCCCTCAGAGGACCATGGATTAGAACCCGCCTAGCTTACCTACTATTATTATATATAGAAATAAACATTTACCATTTTCGTAAAAGATTCTTCATTTTTCAAATTGTTTTCAAACAATTTCAACTCATCCACTGAAGAAATAATGTCGAAAACGAAAACTTCTTCGACGTTATTTACATTAATTTCTTTATTTGTAATATAGTCTATTTTATTTTCTAATCTACTTAGCCTTCTATCGATGTATGTTATTTCAACTAAGACGCGATTTACTTTTCTCAAAATTTCCATGAACACTAAAAATTAAAATATCATTAATGTTAAAATTAAGTTACATTTTAAAATATTGCATTAAAAAAATCTATTAATGTAATTTAACCTTATTGAGATTTATCTCCATTAATTTCATTTAGATGTGTTGTTAACTCTTTGTTACATTTATTGATGTGGAATGATCTTCGGTGTTAAAAAATCTTCATTATCTTCAGTGATAAAATCTTTTTGATTTTTATTTTCTAATTTTCTTTTTTCTTAGGTTTAGCAATCACTTCTTGTCGAATTATCTTCGATTTTTACTTTTCAGTTATAACGATGTTGTCTTTTTCGGAAATGATCGGATTTTCATAGGTTGCCAAAATTAATGCAGGTTTTTTCGAATAACATAATTTTTGAGATCCAGACAATTCTTTCGGATCTGGTAAAGTAGACAATAGACAAGAATCCACTTCTATATCGACAGATTCATTGTCAGAAGTTAAATTTTTTGCAGCAGCTCTATCATGCCGTGTTTTTTTTCATATAATCTTAATCCTCAGTATTTGTCAGAAATATTTTCAGCCATCTTTAACTTTTCTTGGCCTCGCTCAAAAGTATCTGAATATAATTGTTGACATCACAAATTATAAATACTAAGCATAGATAGAAAATCACGATTAATATTAAATTATATGTTGACAGGTTGATGTTAAAAGAAAATAAAAGTTTTTAATAAATAAATTTGTTCTTTCTTTTCGACAATATCCAAATGAATTAAATCAAAGTAACTTAATAATTTATTACATTTTAGTTATTGATATAAACCTTTGTTTATGTTACTTTGATCAGTTTATTCATTAGATCGATAGTCGAGAAGAAAGAAGAATGAATTTTATTTAACTACAAAAAGAAGGAGACAAGTTTCAATAAATAATTTTGTGTGTGTGTGTGAGTATGTATTCCTGCTGAAGACAAAATACGTAAAACGTCATACATCGCCCAACCAGCTTGTACATTTTTGAAATCCGGTATTTCCTTATTCTTTATAGCTTTATTTAGCCTCTTTTTTACATTGTATTTTGGATAGAAGCAAACTTGTTGCTTTTGATCTTCAGATATCCGCAACCAATTATTAGGGACTAATGCTATCCCGTCATTGAATTGAATTACATAGAAATTTTTTGTAAACTACCAACAAAACATATAATGATAAATTAATTTATTAACAATAAATATTATATAGTCATGTGCATTTTCATATTTACCTTTAAAGAAGATTCTTCCTGCATTTTTTGAAAAGAAAATTGCTTGCACCTCAGTTTGGATATATCCATGTATGCTCTTATACAGGGTGTTCAAAAAGTCCCGGACCGGTGAAATATCTCGAAAACTAAGCATTTTAGAAAAAAATGTTTCAGATAAAAGTTGTAGGGTTTCAAAAGATCTATTTACTGATCTTATCAGTTTGACCTTGGATGGCGTCGCCAAGGTCAGATCGAAATCACATTAACTTTTTTAAATGGAACTGCCTACTTTTTATTGCATATTCTTGTAGCTTATCTCGAGACCTTTCCAAAACACTATAAACAAATGTATTTTCGTTAAGTATCTTTCGAGTTGTGAAGCTTGAAAGTTACAGTACATTACAGCTTTCAAGCCTCACAACTCGGAAAATACTCAACGAAAATAAACTTTCTTGTAGTGTTTTGGAAAGGT